AACATATTTTTGTGAGTGTGGACATTATCTTATGGTAGATGTAATGGACCAAACATAAGGCAAGGACAACAGGTGTAAAATCATCTCTAATTTAATTAAGGAAAAATGTAATTTGACAAAAAGTACAAAAAGATATAACAAATATTTGTGGCCAACTAAAGTAAACAACCTAACCAAACCAAGGAAACCAAAAGAAGACCCCCACCACCCAGAACTCTGGGCTTATCTACAGGTGGAGTAACCCAAATTAGGGGGGGAATTGCTAAACTGATATAAATAATTTGAAGCAGTGTCCCTTTCCCCCCCCCTCTGATTCTTGGGACTGGTGGACTCTTCCGCCTCCAGCACTTCACTCTTGTCTCTTCCTCTGCTGTAGAGTGGTGGCTGAAGAATCCACCACAGTAGATATGGGTTCAACCACAACGGGACCACAGTTTTTTTTGATAAGAATATAAGTCTCGGGCCTAACTCACCTTCTAATTACATTTTAGTTAACATTTTAGATCATCTTTTTTTATATCCATCCATCCATTTTCTACCCTTTAATCCATTTCTGGGTCAGGGGGGTGGCAATCAGAGATGCCACCCAAGTCTCATAGCACCAGCCCCTCACTGACCTTCTGCAGGTGGTGAGTCCACAGGAGGACGGCTGCTCTTTGAGTGTGAGCATAGCCTTGATCTTTCAGTGGGGGCTTTTGGGCAAAGTGGGGTTAAGTGTCTTGCCCAAGGACACAACGACAGCAGTCATCAGTGGGAGTCGATGGAGAAGGTGCAGAGGTGGGAATTGAACCCACAACCTTCAGGCCTGAAGGCCAATGCTCTACCAACTGAGCTACTGTCTTTTTTTATAATGTTGTGAAAATAAACTTTACAATTGAGTTGAACATGCCATAGTATTCCTGTAGTACTCCGTAGTAATCCCAAGTTACTGTGATAGTGATAATTGCAAATAATTTCAGGGGCCACTAGAAATAGTCTCACGGCCCGGATTCGATCTGAGTTTGACATGTCTGCCAAAGACTGTAATGCTGAACAAAATAATAATCAATACATCAATACAATTCTGGAACAATCTTCCTGAAGATGTGAGACAGGCCTCCTCTCTGACAATGTTTAAAACCAGGTTAAAAACAGTTCTGTTCAGCTGTGCTACAACTGAGGGATTTTATATTTTTATCTTTCTTTTTAATGTACTGTGATTATTTATGATGTTAATGCTTTCTTATTTTGTTCAGCACTTTGAGTTGCCTTGTGTATGAATTGTGCTATACAAATAAACTTGCCTTGCCTTACAACAAAATGTCTTGAATAAGTACAGTCCTGTCCCACTCCTGTGTCCTAACGTGTTACTCTGGCTGTGTGCGTCAGAGAGACAGAAATGTTGCTGTTTTAGATCATTTTCAACTTTTTCTCGCTGACCTTCTGCTCTCTCTGTTCTCCACATGGTCGTCTCTTTATGACTATGTGACTTCGGCTTCAGCTCTGGTGTGATTCAGCTCTTGCTTCGTTTCTATTTGTATTGAGACATTGTCAGAGTAGAAGCCTGTCTCACATTTTCAGGAAGACTGTTCCAAAGCATCAGATGGTGACTCACCGTAGCAAGGCATAGTTTTTTACAAGCATGAAAAAGACAACATGTACTGCAATAAGACGGAGGCTGCATGAGGTGGTTTGGATTTGTTCAAAACATTTCATAAGAAAATGTATTATTATGGAAAAAGTTAGGTTCCCCAGCTTTACAGTAAGAGGACGATGTACACTGACTCCACCATATTTCTTATATAACTGTGTTCAATCAATCAATCAAAGTTTATTTATAAAGCGCTTTTTCATACAACAGATGCAACACAAAGTGCTTTACAGTTTGGCTAAAAAACAATCCTGCCCATGCCCTCCCCCCGACCGCCCAACAGACCCTCCCCAGACCACAAGCAAACCCCCCCCCCCCCCCCCCCCCCCACACACACACACACGCGCACACACACACGCACCGGTAAAACAATAAAACGATGATAAGAGACTTGGCAGGGTTCAGATGCAACCGGCTGAAGAAACGCCATCCAAGGAGCCGTCAGCGCCAGGAGCAGAGAGCCGCCCATAGCCAAAGGGGACGACACAGGACCCAGAGGGGACCCAAAACCGAGGCCCCGGGCCCCCACCAGGTCCAAGAGTCCGACCCCCACAGCCACAGCCAACCACCGCTCCCAGCGCAGAGGGCTCCTCCAGAGGAAACACTGGGGATACTTAAAAACAATACAATAAGTAAAACACTAAAATGTGAGCCTGAAAGGAACTATCACACAAAACATGAATAAAAGCAATAGCAATGTAATAAATAATAAAAGATAAATAGAATATATAAAAATGGACTAATAAATACTAATCAAAAGCTAATCTAAAAAGGTGTGTCTTGAGCCTGGCTTTAAAAATATGAATGTTCTCTGCGACCCTGAGCTCCTCCGGCAGACTGTTCCAGAGACGGGGGCCATAGTGTTGGAAAGACGCCTCACCGTGAGTGTGTGTCCTGACTTTTGGAATGGTTAGGAGTCTGCTGCCGGAGGAGCGCAGGGGCCGGGAGGGTTCATAGGATAAAAGCAGTTCTGAAAGATAAGAAGGCCCAAGACCATTAAGACATTTAAAAACCATTAAAAGAACCTTAAAATCAATCCTGAAACACACGGGGAGCCAATGCAGCAATTTTAAAACCGGTGTAATGTGGTCCCGCCCCCTGGTCTTAGTCAGGACACGTGCGGCCGAGTTTTGGAGTAATTGTAAACCTGAAATGTTCTTTTTGGGAAGACCAGAGAGCAGGGCATTACAGTAGTCAATGCGACTGGTGATAAAAGCATGCATCAGCGTCTCCGTGTTGCCCCGAGAGAGAATGGGGCGGACTCTGGCGATGTTCTTTAAATGATAAAAACCTATTTTTGTGATGTTCTTGATGTGAGGAATAAAAGTCAGCTCAGAGTCAAAAATTACGCCCAGGTTTTTCACATGTGGTGATGGATTAAAAGAGTGTGATTGGAGTTTTGGTAAAAGTTTCTCTCTCTGGGCCTCAGGACCGATGACTAAAACCTCAGTTTTGTCCTGGTTAAGCTGGAGAAAGTTTTCTGCCATCCAGGATTTCAGGTCTAAAATGCAGTTAAAAAGAGCATCCATTGGCCTGGTGTCATCAGGAGACATGGAGATGTACAGCTGTGTATCATCTGCATAACTGTGGAAGTTAATTCCATGTCTCCTGATGACACCGCCAAGAGGGAGCATGTACAGGTTAAAAAGGACTGGACCTAAAATGGAACCCTGGGGCACACCACATGTGATTTTATGGACCTGAGAGGAGCAGGTATCCAAACTTACCATGAAGGATCTGTCTGTTAAATAAGAAGTGAACCATTTGTGGACAGCACCAGAGAGGCCGAGGTGTTTCAGGCGGGATAAAAGAATGGTGTGGTCTACTGTGTCGAAGGCAGCGCTAAGATCCAGTAGAACCAACACAGTCACCTTTTTAGAATCATAATTTAATCTAAAATCATTTAAAATCTTTAAAAGAGCAGTCTCTGTGCTGTGGGTCACCCTAAATCCTGATTGAAATGTGTTGAATGAGTCACATCAATAGAAGCTTCAGGAAGTTGAAAACCTGTAGTATTTTAGTCTTGTCTTGGTATATAATGTGAAACAGAACAGCAAAAATCAATACCTTTGTCATCTCAAAGTCCCTCCTATGGACATGCCAAACCCGATGCCAAATGTTGGGTGCAGGAAATGTGAATATGTGACTTTACAAAAATAGAAGCCCACAGTTTCTGAAGCAGCAAGTCTGACGCTGCTCCACGTTCTGGTGTTGAATAATAGACACGCTGCAGTTTTTATAAAGACTTTTCCCTGCGTTTCTTCTTGACCTGGTTTCACTGCGTCCCTTCCTCCACTTTACTCCATGTATGTGTTTTATTCATGGCATTCATACAAGTCACAATGTTATGCTAGTAATGCTACTGACGTTAGCATCTCTGAAACAATACACTTTTATTCACGTTACACTTTCAAAGGTCACCAAATGAGAACTCTAATTAAAATCCAGAGAAAATAGATAATAACAATGGACTGTAGACGCAAGCGGCAATGAACGGCCTTCGCCTACAACTCTACTATGAAGGGGTCTGCGATTAGTACTTTTTACTGCTGCCTGCTCCTTGAATGTTGGATCTGTACATACCTGTATATATTGCTCTGAGCTCAAATTAACAATCTGATCTGAACTGAACTACTTACTTGACCTTCAATCACTTTCTCATAGGCTCCTCCCATTAACTGTAATTGGTCCCTAGACACTGTAATAATATTGGCTTTTTTGTCGTACATATCTATACGTATGGTCATGATTTAGCAAGTACTATAGCGCTCATGTTTGGTCCTTTATGGATTTTTGGTTTCATGCACACTTATTTTTATTCATCAAGGGTTTGTGTGTCTTGACATTGGAACAAACTGATTTGTGATGTTCACATTGAGGTAGAAATAAACCACGAAGAATGCACCTGCAGTTTTACACCTGACTGAACACTTTACAGTCACTTTTCATCATTTACAAGCAAGCCAAAAATGAACAAATATGAGGTCTTTTTTGTGTTAATTTTGGTGAAATCTTGTCCCGTTTGTCTATTGTTACAACTGTAGTCTCCCTCTCCAGCCTTTTCCCGGTTAAAACTCTGCTCCTCCTCCTCCCCTCAAAATTAGCACATAACTCATAACTAGGTTTTCCAATGGGACAAAGCCATTTAGTTCTTTATGTTGCTTTATTTTCTCATTCCAAGAGAGGCATTTCTTGTATCTTTTCAAAACAAGATCATTTTGCTTTGTCCCATTGGCAAGTTTGGTTTTAAGGCAGTTAAATGTGCTCAAATTAAAATACATTTTGCCCAATTTGAGCCATTTAAGACTTATTTTTCATCACCTTTTGAAGCCTAGTGCCCTGATAACACTCTTCTTCTCTTCCTCCTCAGCTCCTCCACATGGAGTCTTCGGACGACGACACCCTGAGTGAGCGCTCCTGTGTGAGTGAGCCGTCCTTCAGGAGCGAGCGTTCGGGTGGCTCCCTGTCCCCCTGTGTCTCTGGATACCTGGGACCCCCCGGAGACACGCTGCCCTGGAACCTGTCCAAACACGAGCGCCGCAAGAGGAAGAGCCAGGACTCGGTGCTGGACCCGGCAGAGAGGGCCGTGGTGCGAGTGGCAGGTGAGGACCGGTTTCTACATCATTTATGCCTTTGGGACAGAGCTGTGGGGATTCCTCTGGTGCTGTTGGTTTTGTGTTTGTTTGTGGCTCAGTTTTTTGTCTGGTTTCATATCTGGTCCAAGAGAGCTGATCTATCTACATGTATCTACTGTATGTATCTATCTAGTGAGTTCGCGATTGGATACTGATTTCCTGGTATAGAATTTCATGGTCTCATAATGATTTGCAAAACATTACATTTGGACCCATACAATAATTAGTTCGCATACATAAACACACATACAGTACATGCATACACATACATACACATACAAGCATACACATACATACACATACATGCATACACATACTGTACATACACATACATACATACACATACATACATACACATACACACATACATACAGTACATGCATACACATACATACAAAAACATACACATACATACACATACACACAAGCATACACACAAACATATGATCGCACACACCTGTAGACACATTATATTTTTCTCATATTTCTCTTTCCCCTTAAGATGCTCCTCTCTATCTAGTTTTATGGTTATTGTTGAAATAAAAAATTTTCATTCTAATTAAATGGGCACTTCTAAGTAAATGTATCGTCAAAGGCGTGCCATTTTCTCCTGAATTCATCTTCCTCATTATTCTTCTTATTCTGTCAATTTCTGCAGCATTAAAGAGGCCTTTCATCTTCAGCCTGATGGTCTGAAAAAACATGCAAAACTCAGCAGCTTTTGACTCTCCGAAAACTAAAGTTACACCATTCCTGAAGGCGGTGCTGATCCCTAGGCTTACTCCTTCAATTATACTTTTTTTTCTTTGTCTCAAGCTGCTGCGACTCCAGCCTTGTTTCCTGCTTTTGTGGAGTAATTGTTGGTTTGGAAGTCGTTTGTCTTTCCTCTAAATGCCACAGTGTCAGTGTCGGTGCTGAGACCCAGGGCCCTGTGTGTGGCGCTGAGCGGCACTAATGACTGTAATGTAAGAGTGGGATGGACCAAAGCGAAACGTTGATCGGAGAAATTGGTTTTGTGATGTACAGTAGCAACAGGATCTGAGGACGTCTCTCGTGTGGGTTCTGTGTTCTTTGTTTTATTCGTAAAAACAACATATTTAAATTTGAATCAATCCCTGGAAAATAATCACATACTACATTTTACATTCACATTCACGTTATAAAACAATATTTGAACGCTTACAATTTGATCTTTACCAATTAGTTTTTTAAATGAGTTCCCCTCTTCTTACGCAAAATCTTTCAAATGTTCTGTCAATAACATAACTTATTAAAGATAGTAGTGAGAGGAATGCAACTCTTGTATATCTGTATCTGTCTTGGCAAATTATTTATTCAAGTGTGTGTGCTCAGACTGCTGCCTCTGCAACCCAGCAACAGATGAACATGGATGGATAGATGTGTTAATACAATACAATACAATACAATACAATTTATTCTTGAATAGCCCTAAATCACAACAGTATCATCGCAGAGACTTAACAAAACCATTGAAATCACCAACACAGATCAGAGAATCAACAGTTAAGACACAAAAAGAATATAGAACACATAGATGTCCATACATGTTGTAGAATGTTAAATACTCTGACTGGCCCGGTATGTTTCGTACCGGGCATAATCGTTTTTCAATTGAGAAATGCCAGACCGACCTGCCCGCTGAATTTCCATGGAGGCGGGGCTAAAGGTCGGCTGGAGCCAGGTTAAAGTTCATGAGCTTCATTCATTTGATGCTTTTTATGGTTTTATGGATTTTCAAACTACAGTGACGAATTATTGTATAATGTTATTCCTCTAACTACAATCTTCCACAGTATATGATTTTTAAACATAAATTATCTCCAGGGAAAATATTGCAAAGTATAATATCCCATTCTCATTTTTAACACAAGATAAATTGATAGAGGCCTTGTTCAATCTGGGGCCTCAATGTCAACACATTTTAATCAATGCAATCAATTTTAGGTGTTCAAGTAGCAGAACATCTTTTTCAAACAAATGCAAAATGAAACTATGAACAAGATACATGAAAACAATAAAACAAGATACATGAAAACAATAAAACAAGATACAGAATAAACAGAAATATAGAGTAAACATTGTATTTTCTGCTAGATTAAAACAGACTGTTGCAGATGACTGTTTCTCGTGGTTCTGCTCTTCTCTTCGATCCTGAACTTCTCTCTGATCTGACATTTGTTCACTGCAGATGATGAACTGCGTCACAAAAGGCTCTTGAAGCGGAGAGTACCATCTCTGAATGTCACTGTTATTAAACCAGCAAACTGCAAACAATTCACAATGTTGTCTAGTTATCTTGATCTTAAAGGGGACACAACATGCTCACTGGATTTCTCACTGCTTTGGCCCATTTTTCTTTTCTGAATGTGTGGAATGTGGGCAATTCTCCTTTGAGCAGTCATTTTTTCACTGACTTTGGGCAGATAGTGTAGATCCAAATAATGTATCTATAATCATAGATTATAATCCATCTATAATCATAGATTATAATCAATCTATGATCATAGATTATATACCATAGTCATAGATTATACAAGCATCTATCCTGGTGGAGAGTCCACTTTTTTCTTGGATTCATTGTTTTTCAACAATGCAATTTTCTACAGTATGACAGGATAAGTTGTTTTACCAGTTGACGTTTATAGATCATAGATCATATTTATATTTTAGGAGAGTACTGAGCGAGTGTTGACGTCACCCATGGTGTTATCTTTAAGAAAGAAGAGGTAGATTAGAGCTCACTCGAACAGGCTATTTCAGTGGAAATGTATGCAAATGTTGTAGTTAGCTACGGTTGCTAACTTTAGCAAGCTACTTTCTAAGACAATATTTTTTGTTGAACAAAAAAAGGATCATAGAGAGTGCTAAACCATGGATTATTTCAAAATGTTGAGACACAAACGGTTACTGAGCTACAGGAGTGTACTTTTTCATTGTAAGTCAGTAGGAGCCAGATGGAGTTGATGCAAAACTTCATCCATGAGCACTTCCCTATTGGGCTTCTTTGAGCAAACGGGTTAGCATTTTCCATCTATATCCAGATGGTATAGATAGTCTCTGTATCTCTGCTAAAACTGTTGCAATGAAGTTGATGAAAATGGATTGATTGAAGTCTTTCTCTGGGGTGTGACTTAATTTCTCCTCTTTCATCTCTTCGTCCTCGCCCTCACAGTCACTGCTTCATTATTTAGGTTACTGAGCTCCAGGGACTGGGCTCTCATCCTCTACTCTTCCTAATGTCATTTCTGGTCTCAGCCTAGATTCCGAGCCGAGGAGAGAAACTGCAGACCTCCTAAATGCAGTGTAATGGATTTAATGCGTCTCTTTGCGTCACTCTCGACACTCACTTTATTTACTTTTACGAGTGTAATGTGTTTGCGTGATGGCAGAAGCTGTCACGGGCCAATGGGATCCAACGCATTACAGCAGCAGATCCAGATATCAGCTTAAAGTTATGTGCTTCTCCAAAGGATTATCTCACCCGCCCATCAATCTATACAGGATTATGGTTTCTTATACTGGACTCCATGCAGAAATCTCTATTTGAAAGTGTTTGTATTCAGATCTTAAATTCTCTTGTATTTCCCATGGATTGATGTCATGATTTAGACTAAAACAGCCACGGCAGCATTTTAAAGAGGTGGGCCGAACATGCTTAGATTGACAGAGAAGCAAACCAATCAGCAATAAGCAGACGTGACAATAGCTGTGCGTCAGGGAAGTTTTAGTCCAAATAGTTTCCATGGCGACAGCTATGCAGGTGTACGTATTTCTTACTATTGTGAGGCATAATTTTTTCTTTAGATTCTGCTTTTCTGATTAACAATTTATCAGAGGATTCTGATAAATATTGGGTTTAGCTTGACTTAATATGGCTGAATGGAGGCAGTATTCCTCTTGACTTTTATTAATCCCACTGAGATTTCAGAATCTCGTTTTCAGGCGAGTCCTGGAAATTGTTCATGATTATAGTGTTAGGCAGAGAGAACATGCAAACTGCACTTAGAAAGACCATTTAAACTGCTTTTGGTGATTGGTTTCACTGTTACTGTTTATTTCTGGTACTTTTTATCTGGTTTTATCCATGTACTGGGATACTTTTGCACATGTATCCCAATGTGGTTTTACTGTAAAAGGCATATAAGCTTTTTCTGAATCTGAATCAAGGGGCGACAGTGGCTCGGTTGGTAGAGCCTTGGCCTTTGGGCCTGAAGGTCGTGGGTTCGAGCCCACCATGGGACCTACTCCAACTGCTCCCACAAATGTCTACTGTCGTTGTGTCCTTGGGCAAGACACGTATCCCCACGTTGCCTGAAGCCCCTCCTGAAAGAACAAGGCTGCGTCAAGAAGCCCACCACCTGCAGAGGATCAGAGGGACTGGTGCTATGAGCATTGGGTGGCACTGGCAGCTCTCATTGCCACCCCACTGACCTAGAAATGGACTAATAAAGGGGTTGAAAATGAATGAATCTGAATAATTTCTGGAAGTGGAATCGAACCCAGGACATTTTTGCTGAGGAGTGAGACTGCTACCAATGCCTCTGTGCACCGGTAACTTTCAACGATGACAAATATGAGAGAAAATTGATGACATCTGGACTGCACACCGACGCCAAAATAGGCCTATTGAATCCGCAAAAAGATAAATCAGTCCCCTTATCCCTAGTTATTTTGACATGGCGTTTTGATTTTATTCAAAACAATTTTACAAGCTTATTTCACATTTAGCAGAGTTCATTCCTTCTCCACTCTCCATTATTACTATAGTCTTAGATTGTCCGGGACCAGACTGACAGAACCAGGGCGCGGGCTCATGTCGGACCCTGTCAAACTTATTGTAGTTGAGTTTCTGTGTCAGCGCTGAAGCGTTTCTGGGGTCTGGACGTCGCTAGCATCACGAGAGTTTGACAGACGAGGCCAGAGCCGACGCTTCCTTCAGGCCTGAGCAGACGCATGTAGGTCACAGAAGTTCACTATTATAACATGGACTTTATTCAGTCACAGAGCGGCAGCAGAGAGGAGTCCGTCTCCGGTTCATTCATAAAAATCTAGGTTATTTGTTAGATTATGTTTTTCTGACAGTGGTAAAGCTGGGGGACTTAAAGGAGCAGTATGTACAAATATGGCCAAAAGTGGTACTGCAGCCTCTCCCACTCTCCAATTCAATACACTTATTTTATTATAAGCACAAAACCTGACTCTCGCCAGAGCCTTGTAGTTCGCTGTGCTTCAACTTGCGAGAGTCAGGCTAAAATAGTCCCTTGATAATAGAAATATTTGAGTAAAGCTGGGTGTGTACTCCTGCTGGCAATGAAGGGAACACATGAAACTTCATATTTATCCTGTTAAAATGTCATTATGTTCGTGTATATACAGTATGTTTGACACAAGTTTCTCCAATAACATTAAACACATGGTACATATGCGAGCACACATGGTCTGCACAGCTGCACTGGAGAAATATAACTGGAGAAATAAACAGTGAGGTCCCAGTATTCTGGTGGAGATTTTCCTGGCACAAGAAGAGGCTGAGTCAGCTCTCTCTCTGTGTGAATGACACATGTTTAAAATGGCACCAGCCAATTGAACCTGTATTATTATTACAAATGATGCCAAATATACACAGACTTTTCCATTGCAGACACATGTACAGTTCGAAGTCTATTGTTTTGATGCTCGGTGACCTAAAAATAAACTTACATTCGTTTACATTGACCTTATTTCCATTCTGACGCGGGCAGGAATGTGTAAATGGTAACCGCACGTCGTCATAGTAACCCACTTAAGTTCATTCATAAGACACAGAGAAGGAGGTTTTAATTATTCATTCAGAAGACAATGGATTTATTGTAAACACTGTCTATGAGCCGCTTTGTCCCAGTGTATTGCACGATGATTGTAGAGAGAAGAAAGATTTTGAGTTTTTGACCTAGAGAGTGTGAAAAATATAGATAGATAGATAGATACTTTATTGATCCCCATAGAAAATCAGGTGTCCACTTGCATAAAAAAAGTTTCTTCAAAAGCGAACAATAGTAATAATAAGCAACAGCCCTATGTAAAAATATATGTAATAACACATAGATAACTCCTTAATTAACATAGCTACAGGGGTCTGTATATAATCATAGGAGACAAATTATCATAATGTTTTTGAGTTTTTAACCAAGTTTCGACAATGTTTCTCCTGGAGTAGTTTTTAGATCCATCCACGCTAACATCAGTAGCTTCTGTCATAAACATGTAGCTCCGCCCCTTCTGTCTCAGTCTTGTAATAGTATGATGTCATTGTACGACTATGACATCACACTCAGACCAGTTTTGCCTTGAACTAGTTTTGGCAATGTCTCAGATGAAACAACATTCTTTACAATCGCAAGCCTGTGATTGCAGCCGGTAATTTTCGATTATGGAAAAAAAACAAAAACGAAACAGCTCCCTCAAGGGGTAGCGTAGGGATAGCCTTAGTCACATACTAACACATGTATTATATTGTATTATAGTTCGTCATAATCATTTCCAGAATAAATTTATTGTCTATCAAAACTAGTTATCATGACAGGCCTCATTAGCCCTGCCTTGAGTAGATTTTATTAATATAATCTCTGTTTGTATTGCATTACTTTGACTTATTTGACTTTGTCTCAGATCCATCTATGTTTGTTCATGCACGTGCAGTCTCCCATCTGCGTAATCAGTTTGTTAGCATCATGCATTAGCCATTAGGTTGTTGGAATGTTCTTCAGGGCTCTGCTGCTGTGGAGGAAGTGAGTTCTGCAATGAATGTGAATGAGGTCCGGAACAGCCGCTGCTTCTGTTTGACTGTTTCGCCGCTCTCACCATTTCAACCACACTGAAATCCAAAACCAAGGAAACCAAACACAGTTGTTCTTGATCAGGTCTCCGGTCTGATCTGCTGAATTAAACTTGATTGATTAAATGGATGTGATGCCATAACATGCAAAAACCAAGCATGTGGTGTCATGGTGTGGAATTTTTGACCATTTTGACCTGGTTTTATTTTGCTATATATTTGTTCTCTTGTAGTTTTCTTCCTCTGTCCTGATGACTTTTAGTCCTGCCCTAATGTGATCCACCAGTGTGTCCCTGTGTGTATTTATACCCTGTGCCTTTCCTCACTTATTGTCCGTCCATTGTCTCTTCCACATTTGTCCTGTCTTGTTTTCAGTTCTGGAGTTTTTATGTTTTGACATTACCTTGGATTTATTTTGTTTCATTACACATTACATTTTCCTCGTCCCCAAATTGTCATGATTCAGATCCGTTTCAGATTCACAGTAATGGCATTTTGTATTTGGCTTTACATGTGCACCAGACAAAAATATGAAATAAAACAAGTGTCACCGTGAAGCCAATCAACAAAAACAGTGCAAGATCATTTAAGTGTTGGTTGAAAGAAGCTGTTAGCGTATGAAAGCATTTTTTTTAAACCAAATTGCTGCAGTGCATGACAGAAACAAATAAACTTCCGATTCCATGACTGATTGCAGGCCCATAGTAAGTGTATTGTATTGTATAGTTCTGCCATGCATCACTGTCATCATTGCGACAAAAGCGCTGACGTTGCACTTTCCTCTCTCATTTATAATAACACGTGTAATCCCACCGCTGCGGCTCTTTCTCCTCATGTACCAATGTGGACCTGACGCTGGTGCCTGCATGTACCATAGCTGCCCTCCGCTTTGCCTGCGATTTCTCAACAGGCATCTCCACAGACACCACTTTCTCCTCATATAAACATCCCCCTTGAAGCCTCGTGTCCATGGTGACGAGGGTCCCGCTTCTGTCTCCACGGCGACAGGGAAGGCAGGAGGGGGGGGGGGCAGCAGCGGTTGACAGCGGCCTAACAAAAGAAGAGGCCAAAATAAACAGGCGAATGGGAGGAAAAGATGGAGAGAGGTTTGATTTTAATCTGCAGCCAGAGAAAGAGAGAATGACGAACTGTGGAGAAGGTAATGAAGAGGAGAAAAGGATTGTGGGAAGTCAAACACAAGAGGAGACTCTATATAATGGGGGCAAAGGGTCAGACAGAAGGGGAGATGGTGCTTATATGGATCTCTGGCACCTCACACTGCCCAGTCAAAGATATTTATATGAAACCGCTTATGGAGGTAATAAGTGCATAATACTAACTTGACCTGCCTTAAAATGACCTCAGACTGAGATATAAATGTTGTGTGAACTCTCAGACAAGGATATAAAATAATCATTCATGTTTCTTGCTGTGCTTACCCAAGGCATACAGCTTTTACATACAGTATAAGGCTAATAATAAACTAATAAATTAACCCAGTTTATCTCAAAGTAGTTCACAAAACAAGGAAGGAAACACTTAAATCATAAAACCAACAAGTAAAAACACACATTTTACAAGAGTGCAGATCTAGACCTCCAGGTGTATGCACAGCGACTGGAGGCCAGTCCCTGTGCTCCTCAGAGTCCCAGCAGGAAGCCAGTCCCTGTGCTCTTCAGAGTCCCAGCAGGAGGCCAGTCCCTGTGCTCTTCAGAGTCCCAGCAGGAGGCCAGTCCCTGTGCTCTTCAGAGTCCCAGCAGGAGGCCAGTCCCTGTGCTCTTCAGAGTCCCAGCAGGAGGCCAGTCCCTGTGCTCCTCAGAGTCCCAGCAGGAGGCCAGTCCCTGTGCTCTTCAGAGTCCCAGCAGGAAGCCAGTCCCTGTGCTCTTCAGAGTCCCAGCAGGAAGCCAGTCCCTGTGCTCTTCAGAGTCCCAGCAGGAGGTCAGTCCCTGTGCTCCTCAGAGTCCCAGCAAGTGTCCGAGATGGTTCTAATTAGGACTGCATATATATATCGAAAAAATATCTTTATTGCGATAGTGGTGTGTGCAATTACCACATCGAAAAGATGCGCAATTTAAAAAAAGAAAAAGACAACAAAACAGACACATCAACATTCAAAAAGAACAACAACAAACAAACAAACAAACAAAAAAGTATATAAATATATGCATTTGAATGTCTTTAATGTTGTGCTTATTTTTTGTCGTTTGTTTCTTGCGTTTCAATGCAGATTGCAATTTTAGGTTAAAGACAAAAATATCGCAATAATATCGTTATCGAAATACTAAACACTCATATCGAATTTTGCTCTAATTTCCAATATCGTGCAGAACTAGTTCTAATGGCACTAACATAATAACTAGGGCCGGGACTTTAACGCGTTAATTACTATTAATTAACGCGACCGATTATACTGGAGCACCAACTCAAGCTCCGTGACTTTTCTTGTTCAAAAGTACATTATAACAAGCATAGACCAACTTTAGCGGTGTCTAATCTGAGTGAGTGAGTTAGAGACGAGAAAGAGCGCTGTGTATGAAGCCATGGACTCTGTGTGAGAGGAGGAGGAGCAGCAGCGACTCCTGTGTGAGCGGAGGAGGAGGAGGAGCAGCAGCGACTCCTGTGTGAGCGGAGGAGGAGCAGTGACACAGGTGTGTGAGCTGCTCTTGCTGATGTTTTAGGTCGAATGCACACATCAAAAACGTATAAGATTTAGTGCTCACGAGTGCAGTGGATTTTGGGCTTAAAAAGCGTTGTGGACAGAGTGTGGAGGCAATGACAGAAACGTTATTTGATGGGAAAGAAGTCCGTCTGATCCCCTTATCATCCTCAATGAACATGTGTTGCTTAAGCTTATATAATCAGCCATTATTCAATGGTAAACAAAAAATCCATGTGAAAAACTGTTCTCAGGACAAATATTTATATGCGATTAAAATGCGATTAATTGCGATTAATTAATCACAAAGCCTCTAAATAATTAGATTATGTTATTATTAGGGCTGGGACTCTATTAAAACAAATAAAGTTATCACTTTCCCATCTAGTTCTCAGAAACTTGAAAGTAGTGTCTAGGCCCACAGACCTCCTTGGCTCACATTAGATTGATTCAATTTCAATTAAATTCACCGTCAACCCTCTCAGAGTGTTATTGCTGATATAATAATGTACTATTTAAAAACATACAATTAATGCTGCTTATTACTTGTTTGAATTCATGTTCCTCCATAAAAAACGAACCTGGACTAATCTGGTCTCAATCCGTTGTATTCATGGCAAAAATCCTTCATTTGCGAAACCCTGTAAGTCCAGCTCTGTTCTGGAATTCTTCTTTGTCCATAACTCACTCTTGACCCTGTCTATGATTTCTGTTTCTTGTCCATCTGCGTCATAATGTGTTCCATGTGACCTGTTTGTGCATGTTACCTGTGACCAGAGTCATGAGCCAATTGTATGTTATAATAAAGACATACTTCATTTCAATGTGGAGGCAAATAGAAGGACATTCAGTTGTGTGTTTTAATTTACTGTCTCATTCATTTGATGCCAATAATCATACTCATACATCGTACACATCAAAACTCAATTGAAAAGTCCACAGAAGTTTGCACATATTAGTGATTTTAACATCTATTTGACCTTTTGTTTATGATGCATGTAGCGACATATTACTTTTTGTCACTGTGATTATATTTGTCCACATGGTTTCTGTTCACTTTGGACCAATGGCTCTTATGTGTTTGTTATTATTGCATTATCTGTGTTGCAACTGTTTGAAACTTGAGTAAAAACCTCAGAGACGACGTAATATAGGGCAAATTAATTGAATTAATTTGAGTTGAATATTCATTTGAAATCATTTTGCTCTTCTTCGAATGTTGTTGATGTCATGGTTTAAGCTTTTTGATTATTTTGACGTGGCTTTATCTTACTATACTTGTTCTCTTGTAGTTTGAGTTTGCTTCTTGTCTGTTCTGTGGATTGTGTGTGTTTCGCCTGTATCCCCCTGGGTGTATTTGTTCCCTGTGTTTATACCTGTGTCTATACCCCGTTTGTTCCTGGCTTGTTTTCAGTTCTGTATTTCGTCGTTACCTTGGATTTATTGGATTAAATTACACATCAGTCCTGAATTTTGGTTTCCTATTTCATTTCACCACATGACAGTTGACTCATCCTCTGTTTTGACTAACACAGCTTCATAAATCCATAATTCAAGCCATGCACGATATCTTTGATTCAATGTCAAATTTTCGCCTTTGTTGGCTGTAATCAGGATCAGCCTTTCATAATCCGATCATATTGTTTGAAGTTTAAGAGCTTTTATGTTTAGGCCAAAAACACGAGGCTTGTTGACAATAATGTAATCAGTGCAGTTTCTGTGCGGAAACCTAAAAATACATGTTTTGTAGATTAATTTTTCTTAAGAAAAATTTGCAGCATTTCTAGTTTTGAAAAATGAGTAATTTTAAAAACCTTTTTAATTTCCATTGGTTTAAGTAAGTAAGCAATCTTTATTTATATAGAACCTTTCACAGACCAGAGTCACAAAGAACTTTGGGAGTGTTGTGGTCTCTCACTCCACACAGAGATGGGTGGTCACCATACAGGAGGTGCATGAAAAACCTATGGTACATGTTTTCAGTGGTAAGGGAAACCGGAGCACACGGAGGAAACCTATGTAGACATGCAAACTCCACACAGAAAGGCCTGGAGGTGGAATTGCTCCCGGTTTGAATGATAGTGGTCAAAATTATGGCTCTGGGAGTTTTAATAGTTTCATATTTGTGGGAGTACTACGTTCAGTCTTTTTTAAATAAATTCCAACCACAGATTCAGTTCCTGTGGACTCACCACCTGCAGCAGGATCAGTGAGGGGCTTGTGCTCTGTGTGCTGGGTGCAGCTCTGACCCCCCGACCCAGAAATGGATTAAGGGGAAGAAAATGGATGGATGGATGGAGATTCACGTTCGGACTAATTTCATTTGTACTTTTCTGTAAAACCACATTGAAATACTGTACATAGGCAAAAGTCCCAGTGTGCACCAGCCCTACAAAACAACTACCAAACTAGTATCACTGCAGTCATTGTTCTAATAGAGAAATGTATGCTCGCCATTTATCACAGTAATCTGGAGACAGAACCTCTGTTGTGACGGCTCACTTTGACTTTTAACTCTTTTTGTGAATACTATTTGTTGTATTCGACATATTTTCACTTTTTTGTTGCTGGAGTTATATCTTAATGCAGGAATTTGTCCATTGTTATTAAACTATGTGTGTTAGTGCATTCCAGCATTTGAATCCTTTCCGAGCTCTCACTAAAATTCAATGACTTCTCAAGTTCAAAGCCAGAATCTTTGTTGAAATATACTTTTACTGCTTTGCAAATATGACATTGTGGTCTATGCACTGTGCTGGGACTGAGTGGAGGGAGGTCTGTATGTACTTTGGCCTGGAGCAGAGCATTCAGACTGCAGCTGGACCAAACACAAACACAGAGAACATGGTGAGTGTGATCCGGTCAGACAGACTGTGACAAAGGCCTGAGTCAGATGGCAACGGTGCAAAAGTCACAACATTCATCCGGCCTTCTTTCGCTTTATCTGTGGCCGGATGAACAGAGAACTAGGCTACCATATCCTTGCGCGCTCAGAGCAACTATCTGACATCATTCAACAAGATTAACTCTCATAAATCTACTTATCCATCCATAATTATTGTGTGAATGAAATGAGCTTTTGGCTCTTGTTTACTTTGGGGTGGCTACAATAATTACCAATATCTATGGCATCATTGTAGCCCATGTCAAATCAGGAAGATATATTATCAACTAATCAAGAAATAATATCAAATCTTAAATATCTAAAAATCTTAAATATCTAAAAATCTTAAAAATCTAAAAATCTTAAATATCTAAAAATCTTAAATATCTACAAATCTTAAATATCTACAAATCTTAAATATCTAAAAATCTTAATTATCTTCAAATCTTAAATAGAGAAATAAGTTGTATTATTATTAGAGTCTTGTGTTTATACCAGGTTTGGTTATTATTGTAAATAATAACAAAACTTACCGTTGTGATTTTGGGCTAACACAACATTAATGTTATTTGTCAGTACCACCAATTGACCATATTCTGCCGTTGTATTTTTTTATTTTACAGGACCGGAAATCTTATCTTAAACATTAGACTATACAGTGATGTTATTCATAGCTTTGTGAATAGCAGCTGATTGGAAATGATTTAATCCAGTTATAGTGAATAGATGATTCACCCTCGCTGTGTGAAGGAGAGGTTCCGCAGGTCTTTCCTTTCTGCTGCTGTCAGACTGTACAATGAGAACTGCTGAGCCTGTACATGTCATTCATCTGTTAGTAAATACTTCAATCATGTGCAATGTGCAATACTGCAACTTCAGAATGTCCACTTTATCTACTTACTAACCTGTCCTATATGTATATAACTTTGCACTTTATGTATTAGATATTTATGAAAGATTGATATTGAAGCATGAACAGTAAAGAAACATAGCAGATACTAGTTTTGTGTGTCCCCTGTGTGCTCTTACTACTGTCCTGTATGTGCGCTGCAACATTGACATTTCCCCACTGTGGGATGAATAAAGGATCTCTTATATTATCTATATTACATTAATATTATTATTATTATTACAGTACAGATATATTGTCTTGTGGATGGGTGATAATTGAACCCATGTATTGTTTTTGTTTGTTATATAAATTGTATAGGTGGTAAAAAATATATGTCTTAACTGAGTTGGTAATTAATACAATGAAGTTTCACTATGCAGTGTCTCTTTATCATCTCGATACAATCTAGAATCGCTGAAGAACATGGACAAGGTCAGGAGGTCTATTGCAATGTTCACTTTTCACCACTAAGGGGAAATATAGTGCAGGGACATCGCGCACACATTGCAGCTGCATTGGGAACAATGATAATGATTTATGCCCTAACATTGAGTTCCTTATTGCTTTGCCATGTGTTATTAGTCACTGGTGCATCGTGCAGTGATAAAGTATATCTCTGAGGTGGTCTGTATGTGTCCATATGGGATTAATGCTGTAATCTGTGGACCAATGACACTGCATATAAGATTGACCTCTATAGGATTGGGTGTTGTGAGATATATAGTGCAGTGGGACAACAGAGCATTACACTCTTCCCCCTATTTTTTTAATAATAAACAGTCCATCTTAAAGCGTTCCCTCTTAAAAGTCCATTTGGGACAATATCTATTCTAAAAATAACAAAATGATAACAAATTACTTCTTAAAAATCTTATGGACCAATGGTCCTATGTGTTTTTGTCATTGCATTTTCTGTTTATGAAAGGTTTGATTCTCTGATCTATTTAAATGTATTTGAATTGAGCTTTATTGATTAAACTGCCATATTTAGATAAATGGTTTTCACATTAAGTTGTTTAGTTGTTTGTATTTAGTTGGCTGTAGACTCTGTACATATATTTATCTCGGCTTTGGAACGACATGCCCGAGGAGATAAGGCTAGCACCATCAGTATCCTCTTTTAAATCACTTCTTAAAACCCACTTTTATCGAATAGCTTTTAACTGTTAGTTTTAAACTTCACATGCTGTATTTTAATGTCTGCTTTGTCTTTGTTGTGTCTCTCTTCTTGTGTTTTGCTCTGTCTGCTTTGTTTTCCTGTATCTATTGTATCCAATTATTTTGACTTTGCATTATGACTGTTTTATTGTTTATCATGCTGACTGTGCAGCGCTTTGTCAACATTGTTTTTAAAAGTGCTATACAAATAAAGATCATTATTATTATTATTATCATCTATATTTGACGATTGAAGACCCCCCTTTTGTTTAATGTGGTTTCCATGGAGACCAGTCCGCCGCAGCTGTTGCAAATGATGCTAATCAACGCTAACAGTAGCTTTGAGACCGCCCATAACTTTTATCGCTTTAGCACATTTTATTGTTTTAATTACATTTTATTAAACCAAACTGAGATGAAAAAAAAATATACATATTATAACAAAACAACATGATCAAGAATATAATATAGAACGCAATGCCTAATCCTGCCTCTAGAGGTCGCCGCAGCTCCACTCTGCACCACTGCCGCTGCTACCACAACAGACCGGCGTTCAGAGCTCGCCTTCCCGGAGAGGGAGAGAAAGAGAGAGAGAGAGAGAGAGAGAGGGAGAGAGGGAGAGGAGGGGAGGAAAAAATCCAGCTCTAGCCACACAAGTGCGAAGCTATTGGACACAAGCGAGCGCCATTACTGCTGCTGCTGCTAGTTACTGGAGCATGCTGTCAGCCTCGGCCACCCGGGACCGATAGGAAGTCCGCGCTCCTCCCTCCTTCCCCTCAGCGCACTGGGGGACGGACACTCACCCTGCCTTCCCTCCCCGCTCCAGGAAGCCCTATCCCCGGGTTCTTCAGTCACAGCAGCCGAGGGAAGCACCCGCACACCGGCTGCAAGTGGCGTGGAAGTCCTTCAGCTAAAATGGAAATGGAAAGATAGCGTTTATGTAACACTTTTAGATGATTTCTTGGATGCTTTTTGTCTATTTTAAGCCTGTGTGGATTATCTAAGCTGTCTGGAAGTCGGCTGCGAGACTTTCAGAGCGCCAATGCCTTGTTTTATCGGGCAGTTTGTTGCTGATTTGCCGGTGGATAGGAGGCAGTGAAGGGGGGTTACTGCGGTAGTCTGCAGCCGACCTCGCTTCACCATGGCTGGGTTTATACCGGGGTTGCTCCCCACCAACCACAACCAGGAGAAGGAGTTTGCACAGGCGTACGAAGACGTCTTGGAGCGATATAAAGGTAAACATTGAATCAACGTAACATCATCAATATTGATCCTGTTGCCTGATGAGTGCATGTGTTGACAGGTGTAAAATGCAAATCAATATTCAAAGTGATGTGAAGCGTATACAGCAAAACATATTCCATCTCGTCCTCTATACTCAAAATTATGTATTGTGATGCTTAAAATGCTACTATGCTACTCAGTTTTGTTCACCATTCAGCATTATGATGTTGCCTATTGCTGGCTGGCAGTTTTGACAACTAGCCAGGCAAGGACCAACATTGGAATAATGTGTTTTCTTGGAGGCTATTTTGCTTTTGAGAGTTATTTGGTGAAAAGCACGAGTGACTGAACACATTTAGACATTTATTGCTCCCATAACATGCTGTGTGTGCAACAATTGGGTTAAGATCTATGGTTATGTTGGGTAATTTGTGTTCGTATGGGTTTTAGATCCCATATATCCTGGTTTGATTGAATAAAATGTCTTCTTTGCAAGGTGAATTTTGCAACATTTTGCTTAAGATCTATGGTCATTTTGGTTAATTTGTGATTGTATGCATGTCTATAGATCCCATATTCTGGATGGATTAAATAAAACAGCTACTTCGCTGAGTGAACTTGTCACTTTTAACAAATGTGTCTTTGGACTAGTGACATCACAATGGTTATCTTAAGTAATAGTTGACATTCGAGACACTCCTATCTTTGTTTAGTCCCTGTTCTTTGCATTCAAGTACTTCAGGCTATTTCCTCTTACCTCTTTTTACTAATTGTTTATCTCTTGGCCGTAAGATGACACACGCTTTCCAAATATGTATCTCTTTGAAAAAGCAAATAGCTTTTTTTTTTGTCAAATATTGTCCAGGTTTTGCTGAATGGTGTAGTTGATATCTCTTCAAGTTTTGTCTCTGCTTAGTCCTGCTTTACACTATTTGTGCACGTGGTATAATGCAGATATCTCATGTTTTTATTAGTTATTTTATTCTTTTATTCAATCGATCTAAATTATTGCTCTGGAATTGGTTTTGTGACAGATCTAAAGTTTGGGTTGGGTTGTCCTTTGCTCCCTTATACACTCCCCGGCCGCCTCTTTTCTGTCTCTGTTGTATTGTTAGCATCCGCAGCTTAGCCCCCGTTTTATAATCCACTGACAGGGTGCTTTAAAAATGAATGCCTGCACACAAATTGCCTGGGCCGGGACGTCCAGAGGGGGGAGGGGGTCTTTGGTAGTTGCCGAAACATGATGGTGGGGTGCGGGTGCAGCCAATGGGAGCCCATCTGTGGTGCTGATGAAAAGCTGGAGGAGGCTTTTAATTATTGATTATTGTAATGAAACTCCTTGGGGTGTAGGAAGAGGGCTAGAGTGTCGTGGTAATAGTGACAGGTGCACTCAGACACGAGAAGAGACAGGACGGTCCATATTTCATCATATAAAGTGGGCTTTTTTAGTTGGATCTGAAATTTGTTTAATAAATATATAATATGGATTAGATTGAGATTATCAGCAAATGTGCATGGTACAATTCTGATTATTTTTAGTATGTTGGCTCCTAATTTATATCATTGGAAAACTTGTTTTTTATGCTGTGTTTTTCAGTAGGATAACAGTGGTGTACAGGTAGCTTTCACTTAAGGGTTTCAACTATGGTACCTTTTCTTTCTAGCATCAGGTAAACTCGTTGGCCTTTGCTGGAGATTTACCGCAAGTCAATATATATTTGTATTGCCCTAAATAACAACAGCAGTGGTCTCGGAGGACTTTACTATGTTGTCCATTTGCTAACCACAGATCAGGGATTTCAAAGAGTTTAAAAAGGAAAAACATTGGAGCGATTGGTCCATAGAGAGCGAGAAAGCAACGTCTATAAATGTTATTAAATGTCCATAAATATGCTTAAATGTCCCGAAAGATCACTGTCCTTAGACCCTTCTGCAGTAGTAATATGTCTTTGCACAAATATCAGAATCAGAAATAAGTAACAAGAAGTCGCAAACTATAAATTTCCTTTGGCTCAAGGTTCAGTTGTAAAGAGTAAAGGGTCATGCGTACAAAAATCTTAAAAGTTTAGAAGTGCACTACTGTTTACACATGCACTTTTATTCAATATCTATTTGAGTTGTGTCTTTGTAATGTATTTTAAGCATTCTCCTTCCTCGCTTTTCTCAATTTATAAGCATTCTGTTCTGTATTACTATTTTACTGTACACATAACATTTCATTAGACACCTGCATGAAGGACATCCCTCTCATGCTCCCGCCAAGTGTAATAAATGTTGTTGTTTATTGTATCAACAATAATTACGGCTTTCACTCCTGCTGCTTCATTTGCTTTATTGCCGCTGTGGGATTTTAATTTATGCCCGAGATGAACCAATACTTTTAATGACTTCCCCCTCATTCACCCCGCTACAGTTTGCTTTTTGGCTGAAGCTCGGGGCCATTTCTCAAAGCACCACTTCACTTGTCTTCTATTAAAAGACCATTGTGAGTTCTATCGCTGTGGACTTGTCTTTGATGGATCAATGAAGCATTAGAGATGATGCTGCGCTGTTGGACAAATGTATTGATTTGAACTAAGTGATTGTTTGATATTGGCTTTGTTTTTAAATGGTCCCAAACCTATCCTCAAAATGCACTTTGTTATGAATGGTATAAGGAGCAAATGAAATCTATTTAGCATTTTTCACTGGGATGGACGTCAACCTTATAGCTATAGCATCTTACTCTTCATGAACTGATTCGTTGTTGTTTTCATGCTGTATGTTTGTCTTAAAGACAGATCAAATCAATTTTATTTGTATCGCCCGAAATCACAACAGTTGTCTCGAGGGGCGTCACAGAATCGCCAACTTCCAACGGCTCGGGACCAGTCCTCGGGCCCAGGGAGTCCAGGGTTTCAAGCCTGTTTAGTCCCTGAAATGGTATCTGTTGGGTTCATGCATTTATTAGCATTTTTATAAATCTGAATCTGAAAAAGTATTTGAAATCCCACACCAAGAAAATAGTTTGAATTTACAAATGGAAATATTATGAAAATGTTATTGGTTTCTTGTCTATTTTGATGTTATTCTCACATAAGTCAAGTTTGATGATATCCAAGATTCAAATGTTTACAAAGAAAGAAGACTTTAAAAGTATAATAAATGGGGTGTAGACCAATTGTTATATGTGTTCCCCGGTAACTCTGGCAACAGTCAAGTCAAACTTTTAGTCCTCATTTAGTGCTAATTTCTCGTTCCACATCTCTGCCAGTATATGTCAATTATGGTCTCATTATTTTCTCATAACAGTGTCTAGTTTTGACTTTATCTAAAAAACATTATGCTTGATGACATTAGAAAGGACTGATTTAAGACCAATATGGTGGGATCATCCAAAACATGATGAAAAAAATTCCTTTTCATTTTCAAAATTCTTTCTAAAATGTCTTTACCATAGATTTGCCTTCAAGTCTACTCCAACTACAATTCTACCACATTTTATATACAACACTGAAAAAACTGGGACAACAAAAAGTATCTCTTAATCTCGATATTGACTCGTCACCTACAATGGCACATATTTGACCCCACAGTAGTTTATTGTCAGCTCTCGTACTGCAGTCTCGTCATCGCGTCATGCTGTAATGATAGGCCCGCGTGCCGCCCTCTAAAGCGGTGTTATTTTGGGCCTTTGTGAATCCGGGCGCAGCGTTTTGTGTCTGTCTTTCGTCCTGGGACTCTGTCATAATAACGGCTGGTGTAATGTTATCAGCCTCTGAGCCACAGTTCAACAATAGGACGGCAGCGTGTCTCTGAATAATGATGCCGGTTCTTCCTCTGGTCTTTGAACGCCTCGCAGGACAATGGGAGGGAGGGAGCAGCTGTCACTCACTCACTCACTCATTAGATAAGAGAAAAGGTGTTTTTAACTAATGGTTTTTGTTTGGTTTTGTATGGGTCCCGTGCAGAGAAATCCTCAATTTACTAAAACAATTGAATGTCTTTTTTTTTTTTTTTATATAGGTGGACAATGCTAACACACTAGCTCAAGCGCTTGTTGACAAAGTTTTGCTCCCTCGGGCTATTGACTATTGACCTATTGACTTGGAAAGGAAACTCCTCTAGCCGTCACACTCGGAATTCTCGGGCTCCCTGTGATCCTGGTGTTTATATTTTGATAATAAAGTGAATAAAGCCATGAGTTTTGACCAATTAGACGCCTTCATTTGCGTTGTTTTGTGCTATTTTTCTACATTTTGTCGGTGACAGAAAAACTACCGCAAAAGGATTATAGACGTATATTTTACTTTTCTTCTAATGTTGTTTTATATAGTATAAAAATGCATCCACAACAGCCTGTTTGTCTTCTGTTGATCGCCTGTTTAGTGTAAAAGCTTTTAAAGAACCGAGAAGTGTCGAATCAATGAATGAACTCAGGCTTTTCCCTTGAGAACTAATGGTTAGAGCGATTGACAGATGGTCTTTGGAGGATAGTTTTAGCTTATTCTAGTTATCGGGCTTGAAGGAAGGAGATGGATCACTATAGCACGCTAGACATTGATCACATACAAATATATATGAAGATTTTTAAAATGGAAAACAAAACGTGACAGTGTAGAATATATAAGTCCACATTTTTTTTAAAGGGGTTGGACGAAGCAACACATTTGGCTCCAACACAACACACACTTATTCTAACTCCTACACA